TGGTTATATTTTGGACCTCAGAGGGTTAATCTAACAAATCGTGAAAAATTAGGTTTCAGTTTTTGTTCATGACGGTGCAGATTTCTGACATTTTGTGTAATTTAAGCATTTAACAATTTGGTTATTTTCTAACAAAAAGTGTGAAACTAAAGTTAGACCTGTGTTTGTAAATGAAGCGCCCCATGTTGTGTAGATTTCTGGATTTTATACTTATTGGGCTGCATATTTATTTATTATACAGGCTACAGTACATAACATCAAAACAGTTTATGTAAGTAAAGTGTTTGACTATGTGGGCTACAGAAAATAATTAAGTTACAGACTATATTTATATGAAAAACGTGTGTACTTACTGCATTTGAAACATTTTAACCATTTGTAACCACCTGCATATGTTTGGAAAAATACGCTTTGATTTTGCCCCCCCCTTTGATTCCTTTGCCACCCTAAGAAAATTTCTCCAGATCCGTCCCTGTAAGGGCATAAAATGGAACAATGTGGAACATGAAATCGTCTTTATAGGGCGATTGTGGCTCAAGAGTTGGGAGTTCGTCTTGTAATCGGAAGGTTACCGGTTCAAACCCGGCTCTGACAGTCTCGGTCGTTGTGTCCTTGGGCAAGACACTTCACCCGTTGCCTACTGGTGGTGGTCAGAGGGCCTGGTGGCGCCAGTGTCTGACAGCCTCGCCTCTGTCAGTGCGCCCCAGGGTGGCTGTGGATGACTGAATGTAGTGTAAAGCGCTTTGGGGTCCATAGGGACCAAGCTTTACAAATACAGGCCATTTCCCATTTATGCGGATAACATGTTACTTTTTCTCCATATTTAGGTATTCATGTTTTCTTCGAGGCTTGCAGATGATTACAGTTATATATAACGGTGTGTGTTTAATGGTTTAATAATGTATAATAATAATATAATGTGTATGTGTTAGTCCCTGTAGGGAAATTGCTCCTCTGCATTTAACCCATTCACCCAGTGAAGCAGTGGGCATCCACCAGTGCAGCGCCCGGAGAGCAGCGTGTAGGGACGGTACCTTGCTCAGGGGTACCTCAGGGTAGCCATTCAGTGGAGTCGAACCCCCGACCTTCCAATCATGGGGCCACCACTCTACCTACTGAGCTATCCCTGCCCCTGTTTTAGCCACATTACACTGTAAAAAAATATTTTTTTTAGATAAACTATGCAAATGGGAAGGACAGCGAATGTTGACGAATGAAGAATAAGGCAACTACTCAACATTAACTGTTAAAACATTATGAAAAGCATCTCTTTTCTTCCTCTACAACATTCTGCATCAGGTCTGATTTGGAAATAATGAAAATTTACTTACAGCTGGCCAAAGCAATGATCCCAGCCCAGAACAGCAGGGTCCTGGGGCTGCAGAGGTCCGTCATGTTCAGCAGTTGATGCACAAATGTGTGGAAACCACTGAAAATTATTCACACACCACAAAGATGCTTTATTTCCTCTTAGTATGGAGGGTGAAAAAACAAAACCACTATTTTGCCATATTAGGCTTTGAAACAAATGCCAGTAAGTAGTAACAGTTAACAAAGGGTTTGTGTCTCTGTGAAGGTTCTCAGTCATCCAGGTCATCGTAGTCAAAGGAGCTTGCAAAGAAAAGCGTCTGGACTTCTTTAAGTTGCTTGAAGACGTTTCACCTTCATCCGAGAAGCTTCTTCAGTTCTAAGGTCAAATGGTGGAGAGTCCCAGATATAACCCTAGTGGGAGTTTCCCCCCACAGAGGGACAAAAGGACCCCTGATGATCCTCTAATCACCTGAGCCAAGGTGTGAAACTGGGTGTGGGTCCCAATCAGCCAGAGTTTCAGGTGAGCTCATTGTGAAACCTGCCCCACCCTATCATGTGATTTCCTGAGGTCAGATGGCCCAGGATGTGACTCAACTCAAAACTGGATTATAGATGGCAGGTTTTGTGTCCTTTCATGATATTTTGCACCGAACTTTAGCTTTAAAAACTCCCAAAGCACGGCCTGTTCACCATTTACAAATTACACGTTCTCTTTTTTCCTCACAGGTAAATTATTGTCACTTGTTCCAGAGGCCACTTTCTTCTTTTCTGCCACTATGTTAATGTTTGCTGTGCTTGAGCTTATTAGCTTAGCAGAGTGTTTATGGTCTCTTTCCTCCTTGCATCCCATTTCTACCTCCCTCCCACCCCTCATAGGTTATATAGGTCCCCTCTATTCCACCCATCAAACTGGGATGTACAGAACTGGCCAGGGAGCAGTGGGGATGGGCACTGGTGTTCTCTGTGTAATAAACTCCAGAGATTTCTCCCATGGAGCCCTGAACACAGTGAAAACACACAAAAGTTAATATAAATAAATAAATAAATATTTTTTTATTTATATAGCACCTATCAATCACACAAAGTGCTGCACATAAGATTACAAGTCATAAAAAGTTTTAAAAAGAGAAAATAAAACAGGCAAAACTTTAACCAAAAGCAGTTTTAAAAAGGTGAGTTTTGAGTTGTTTTTTAAAAACAGCGACTGAGTCCACAGTGTCGGGGCCACAGTGGCAAAAGCTCTGTCACCCTCAGTCCTCCTCTTAGTCTGTTTTATAGCAGGTAAGCCCTGATCAGATGACCTCAAAGACCTGCTGGGACGTCGGGCTGTAGCAGATCAGAGATGTAGGCTGGTGCCAGTGCGTGCACAGCTCTGTAGGTCAAGACCAGGATCTTAAAATCGACTCTAAATTTAACAGGAAGCCTCAGTGTAACTGAGATAACAACGGTGTCACATGTGAGTACTTGCAGGATTTTGTCAACAGCCTCGCTGCAGCGTTTTGCACAACCTGCAAGTTATTTGGTTGTTTCTTTTTCACCTGTGATTCCAGCCTCAAGGAGACTTTTGCTTCAGAATATACGGGTTGATAGAAAGTGTCTCTGCATTTCAGGTGTAGTGACTGGAAAAGTATTCAAGTATGCAGGTTTGTATCCCAGCTGTTTGCCATACATCCCAAATCCATGCATCCTTAAGTCCATCTTGTGGTGAAAAGTTCTTACTACACTTCAACTAGTGACTCATTTAGAAACATATGAGTGGGCCTAAAAGAGCAAAAGGCCTCAGAGAAACAACGAGTCATCAAAGAGTCCTGCAAGAAAACGCAGTGATAACACCTGCAGGAAATGCATTTAATCTACCATTAGATTATTACAACATTAATTAGTAAAAAACTCAAACCTTTATATTCATCTGACGACTTGTTTTTCAGATTTTCTGTAATGAAATATTACTGCAGAGATGACAGAGGAAGTACTGCTGTCAAACCTGCTCTAAAAGGCTTCGGTTCCTGTGAGCGTGCAGATCATAACCTTGTTTATTATAAGATTCAGAAAAACAGGAAGGATTGCACACATGAACTAAAACATAAAACATTACGTTTTCATAGTATTTTATATTCAGTTTGTATGCATCATGTTTATTATAGAAAGTAGTTATAAAAATATAATAATCTTACATTGTTTGCAGGTGAGCATTGATTGCAGAAATATGTTGCTGTTGGTGGGCTTTTTTTTTTATTTGGGCTGAACTCAAATAGTTTTTAAAGTCTGGATTATTAATATTTTTTGTGCATGTTTGGCGATTTTAAGGAGAGAAAAATCAGACGATGGTCTCACAGGCAGCAGCAGCAGCAGCAGCACAGTCCTGTTCCTCATTTTAAAAATACGTTTGAACTTCAGTAACTTTACACAGGTTTCATTCATATTTCCAACGACTTTTGCACGTCTGTAAATATGCATCCATCAAGCCAGCACAGAGGAGGCCCAGGCAGCCTGGAGTTAGCTGAGCCAAAATAATAAGCAGAGTGACCCACTAAACTCAACAGGGGGTCCTGAAAGGCATGCACTGCATCTCTATCGCCCATCCAGCTGCTCCACAGGAGCGTTATAAAAAACCACCGAGCAAAACTCAGAAGCTTAACTTAACTCAAACATTTTAAACGTGGTCAAAAGAAACCAGAGGGACAATTTATAGGTGGTAAGGGGTGTGTAAGATGTAGAAAATGCACACACACACACGTAAGCTATCGATTTTTAAAGACTTACTTCCTCTATGGTTACTTATTGGTGTTAAATAGGAAGTAGAAATCACGCTCTGTATGTTTGTGTGGAGGAGGGGACAGAGCTGCTAATGTAGCCTGATATGTACATGAGGGACAGACACACTAGAGCGCAATGGAGCTGGACAACACATGGAGATGATGAACTGCCACAAGGGGAGACGTGAAGATCATGAAGCAAAGCTAAAAGCAAACAACAAACAAACAAATTAAGCAGGAAGTGCAAAAACTAAACAGGAAGACTACAAACACACGAATAAACTAAACACAGAGAATTTGATGGAGGAGGAAGAAACTGATCAATAAAACGAAACCAACTGTGAACTAAGAATGAGACCTAAGACACTAAATACTCAAAGCAAATGTAAACATGAGAGAAATCAAGTCTATTTTTTAAGTAGATAGATATCCTTATTTTTAATCCCCTCTTGCCCCTGCAGGCGGTCTTCATTCTTCCAGCTCGGGTCCTCTACCAGAGGCCTGGGAGCTTGAGGGTCCTGCAGTATCTCAGCTGTTCCCAGGACTGCGCTCTTCTGGACAGAGATCTCCGATGTTATTCCCGGGATCTGCTGGAGCCACTCGCCTAGCTTGGGAGTCACCGCACCTAGTGCTCCGATTACCATGGGGACCACCGTCACCTTCACCCTCCACATCCTCTCCAGCTCTTCTCTGAGCCCTTGGTATTTCTCCAGCTTCTCGTCTTCCTTCTTCCTGATGTTGCTGTCATTGGGAACCGCTACATCGATCACTACGTCTTCTTCTGTTTGTCTACCACCACTATGTCCGGTTGGTTAGCCACCAACATTTTGTTGTCTGTATCTGGAAGTCCCACAGGATCTTAGCTCGGTCGTTCTCCACCACCCTCGGGGGCGTCTCCCATTTTGACCTCGGGACTTCCAGGTTATACTCAGCACAGATGTTTCTGTACACTATGCCGGCCACTTGGTTATGGCGTTCCATGTATGCCCTGCCTGCTAGCATCTTGCACCCTGCTGTTATGTGCTGGGTTGTCTCAGGGGCATCTTTACACAGCCTGCACCTGGGGTCTGCCTGGTGTGATGGACCCTTGGTGACTCTTCTGGACTTGCCTAACTCTCTGTATTTGGTGGTTGCTGCTCTTGCCAGTGGGATTCCCAGGTGCTTGTAGCTGTTCTCAATGACTGCAGTGTTGCTTTGTGGCAGTGTGATGATCTGAGTTATGCTGAAGTTTCTTCTCTCGTTTACCATCTCAAGTTTCAAGGAGGAGGAGCTGGTCACCAGCCTCGCCTTGTGCTTGCCGTAGACCTCCACTCTAGATTCCTTAAACATGAATCTCACGTCTGTCTCATTGCTGTGTTTTGTGTCCACGCTGTCACGTTTCTCACGCCATTTATGTTTCGGTGCAAAAAGGAAGAAAGCTTGTGTGAAGCTAACTCAGCCGTCTCCACACTTGGTTCAGCCCCTGAGCCCAGTTTTGGTACAGGCCTTTGGCCTCTTGGGACTCTACAGTTCGCTTCTTTAGCCAGTAGGTCTGAATCACGTCAGGGCCTGCAGAGATCAGCTCACAGGCTTTATGTTTTCCTACGTCTCCAATATTTAATTGTATGCCATTCTTCCAAATAGTGGCCACATGCACATGTGCTCAGCCCTGATAAAATAACTACTCTAGCCAAAAAATTAGCTGTCCTCCAATAATCAAATCTGTCAGCTCAACTTAAACAGGCCTGAAGAGTCCGTTTGAAAAAGGAAACTTTCGCTGCTTAATAATCAGGTCCAGACCAAAAAGGCAGCGCCTGTACCACCTACGACAACTGAGGAAGTTCAGGCTATCTCCAGAGATCCTC